TGCAATTCCGAAGTGTCTCATTAGCATCCCTTTTCTGGAAAGGGATGCCAATGTAGACACAGCCATAGGGTATATCTACAGTACAGCGTTATTTCGAAATTGTTAATTCGAAATACGTTATTTTGAAATAACGCATCTACACACAAAATGCATTTCGAAATAGGGAGAAGAGTGTTCTTGGTTGAGGCTGGAGTGGCCACCAGGGTACCCTGGAAAAGCTGGAGGTCCCCTATTTTGATATGAGAGTCTACACAGCACTTATTTCGAAATAGCTATTTTGAATTTGGCGTTATTCCTCGTGGAATGAGGCTTACCAAATTCAAAATAAGTGCTCTGCTATTTCAAATTAATTTTGAAATAGTGGTTTGGCTGTGTAGACGCTAATAAAGTTAGTTCGAAATAACTGCTGTTATTTTGAAATAACTTTGCTGTTTAGACATACCCTTAGAGACTAACGAATATATTAGATCATGAGCTTTCATGGGTAAAACCCACTTCATCAGATGAGCTGGAGTGGAAATACATATCCAGGGTATATAGAACAGCAAAAGCAGTTACCTGTCAATTGTAGGACCAGTATCAATGGAGCTAATTAAATCACACTGCATTTGATGTTCACATTTCCAATGGTATGAATGGGACACATCCGAGCCATAAGGAGCTTTCACAGTTCTGGAGGACATTACAGTGCATATTGTTAGGTTACCCTGAATGGTCAGGTGCATTAGGAGTGGACTAAAGACGATCCATGCTTCAGAACATCCCTTCTGCGGTCAGTCTCTGAACCTCACTCGCTCGCTTTTGAATGTTTGCATTTCATCACATAGCTACAGGCAGACTTAGCAACATTCCCCAGCTAGCTATGAAGGATCTGTGGCCCTAGCTGTGTTTGTGTACAGAACAGCTTTTCTTAATTAGTCTCTTTTGTAATCCCTGCTGTATTTTGCTCCTTATTTCTTTCTTTCCATTTTTATTCTAATTGAGGGTGGTTCCCCCAACCTCTTTTTTCTCCTACCTCTGGATTTGGAATCCTTTATTATTTCCCTCCACTCCTTGCTTTCTGCTGGAGACCTGCCTACTTGCCTTCCCTCATTCCACCACCCCAGAGGGCTGAATCGTGCTTCCTTCCTGGCTCAGGAGATTTTGTACAGCTTCTGACCCACGACCCGGAAGTTACTTGCAATCTCCAGTTTCTGCTTGTCTCTCAGGAGTTTAGTCTCCGTCGGTGCGTGCCAACATCCAAAGGCCAGATTCTCGGCTGGCAAAGTCAATGGAGGACAAGTTGAGGCTCTAACCCTGACAGTTATTTATCTGTTAACTGTACATTTATAAAACCATAATGAGTAAATACACCAGTGATTAGGGGATGGAACAGCTTCCCGATGAGGAGAGCTTCAAAAGACTGGGACTGTTCATCTTAGCAAAGAGATAACTGGGCCTCCATAGGATAGAGGTTGGTAACATCATGACTGATGTGGAGAACGTAACTAAGGAAGTGTTATTTATCCTGACGGAGAACACAAGAACTAAGAGTCACTGACAGCTGGTTCATACCACCAACGAAAACGTTTTACATACATCAAACAATGGCACCATCAACCTAGGCTCCTTGCCGCAGTCAACAAGAAGAACTTGAGACAAAAGAGAATTAATTAGATACGTTTAGGGAAGATTGGTCCATCAATGGCTTACCAGTCAAGATGGTCAGGGATGCAGCCCCATGCCCTGGGTATCCCTAAGTCTCTAACTGCTAGAGGCTGGAACTGGACAACAGGGCGTGGATCACTCAATACTTGCCCTGTTCTCTTCGTTCCCCCTGAAGCAGCTGGCATAGGTCACTGTCAGAAGACAGGATATTGGGCTAGATGGACCATTGGTCTGATCCAGTGTGGCCATTCTTAAGTTAAAATTGTATTGGAGCTGGGAACACCGTGGCAGGAGTATTACATTAATAACATGATGACAGGTGGGACCTCCCTGGTCTGGCATTCAGGACCAGAGTGGTCCCAACCACAGAGTTTTCTGGATTAGGGGAGGTCAGGGCTCCCCTCTGGGCTATCAACCCTGGCCACTGGGCTCTGCTCTTGGCCCAGCTGGGGCTGCGCTGCTGGCGCCACTGCCTCCAGCCATTGGCCAACCCTGGGAGAGTTGTACTCCCAAATCTCATGCTGCCCCGACTGGGGCAGCGCTCCCGGCCACTGCACTGATCTCCCCACCTCACTAGCCCCACTGAACCTCCTGAACCTGTCCAGCCGGGGCTCTCTGGTCCAGCAATATCCTGCTGGACCACAGATGTTGCCAGACCAAAGACTCCCAGATTTTAGAGGTTCAAACTTCTTTAATATTACTATGCTCTATCTCCTCTTTCCTCTCATGGTATATGGCATCTACCGTATTAAGCTGTCATCATCATGGTATCTAAAGTGACAATTCAAGGTCTTGGTCCTAATCTTCAAAACCATCTGTGGCTTAGGACCCAGCTTCACATGTGAGCACATCTCCACGTGTCTAGACAGTTCTGCTTCTGTAGAGCAATGGAGCTAACGAAAGGTAGGATGAAGAACATAAAAGAAAGAAAAAGTATTTGCAG